TGGGTTGGTGGGAGCACTTGGGCAGTAACCTGTCGTGGGTAGCTTGAAAAAAAATATTCTGTCACCTTTCCTATGTCTCTGTACCGCTGAAAACGTTTTAAAAAAGGAAATCTGTCAGTCTACTGAGGAAGACCAGAGTGACTTGTCGAAAGCTCTAGGTGAGAGAATTTTTTGTGTTGGACCAAAATTTTTAACTTTAAACATGTAACTACCAACACTGTCACAGATGAACTTTCATGATAAAAAAGAAAATCGTTAAAACTCAAGTTTTTTCTCTTTAATTTTCCTTAGTTTTGATTTAGTTATACCCCAAGTAAAAACTTTGGTTCCCGCTTCACGCCTTCTCAGTGCGTTAGACACGCTCGTACGACATGCTACTTATTCTGCCTCTGTGATGGCGGGAATGTAGTGGTGATGGGAGTAAATCTTTAGTCATTTCCTGCTGCCCGCACGCACACGGCGACACCGCGACACCCGGGCATCGTTCTGATACCGGCGGGCCCTCTTGCCAATCTAGCCGCACGCACATGTCAGCAGTACTGGCGACAGGTTAGCCTAGAGACAGGGCCGCGAGGTGATAACGTTGAGAAGTTAGCCTGGACACCAAACCGCAAGGTAACAACAACTTATGTGTCCATACCTATTGTACAAGCAGAGGTTTAGACTTTGTAGCTTATTTTATAAGGCTTTTTTTCTATTGGTATATTATTGCAGCCAAACGTTTCTAGTGGATGCCAGAGACCCATAGCACACTGGGCCCAAAGTAATATTCAGTGCCCTCCAATAACCCTGCACACTGGATATTACTTTGAGCCCAATGCGCTATGGGTCTGGCATCCAGGCTAAAATTTCGGATACTGCCCTGCCAATTTGATGCTATCTTTTCATCTTTTGTAGGCCTGGATCAGCCCTGGAGTCGAGGAGCTTGGAATCAGTCTGGCCTCCAGGCTACCGGCAAGTGTTCTCGGAACAAGCTCCTGTCGTGCGGCTCTGAAGAGGAAAAGACTTGGACTCATTTCAACTCATTAACGTCACGACATTCAGCTACGATTCCTGTTTAACAATCACCCAGAGGACACAGTAAGTCGTTTTCCCTTTTCTTGGTTTTGTGTATCTTGTAAGGAACACCTTCAGTAAGTTTCGTCTTTCGATTTTCTTAGAGTGACCCTTGAATGCACCCTGAATTATAGTGAATGACCAACCTGACGAAAGTAAGCTGTTTTTTTTCTTCTTCTTCTGTTTTTAGTACTTTTAAGGAGCAGGATTTCCTAAGTTAAGAGGTTTAAGAAGCAGAAGTTCCTTCTTCTGTTTTTCTAAGAGTGACCCTTGGATGCACCCTGAATAGCCAACCTGACGACAAAATGTCGTTTTTTTCTCTTTTGTATATTTTCCGTTTTGTGTATTTCTGAACTGAACTGAACTGTATTTCTATGGAGAAAGAGTTTCTTAGTTTAAGTAGCAGGAGTTTTTAACTTTAAGAAGCAGAAGTTCCTTCTTCTGTTTTTCTTTGCGTGACCCTTGGATGCACTCCAGGTTACCAGTACGCGGTGAGGCAATAACTTTTCTTGTTATTTACAACCGGCCCAATTCTACCGCGACTTTTCTTACAGACAAGAATCAGAAGTGGGTCAAATCTTCCTAGTTATCTGTACTTCTTAGAACTAGTATTTAAGACAAGCGTTTCGTTTCTTCGGGTGTCCTTGAAGTGACCTCTAGATGCACCCCTGCATGAGTTTGTATATATACGCGCATCGGCCACAAGACGAAATTGATTACGAATAAGAATCAGAATTAAGAACCAGAATCATTTCTTTAAGAACTAGTATTTAAGACAAGTGTTTCTTTTCTTCGGGTGTCCTTAAAGTGACCTCTAGATGCACCCCTACATGAGTTTATATATAAGCGCATTGGCTACAAGACGAAACTGATTACGAATAAGAATCAGAATTAAGAACCAGAATCATTTCTTTCAACTTTCAACTTTATTTCTTTAAGAACTAGTATTTAAGACAAGCGTTTCTTTTCTTCCGGTGTCCTTGAGGTGACCTCTAGATGCACCCCGGAGTTACGCGCTCCGGCTACAAGACGTCTTCGTTTCAATCACACCCGCCTTGGGTTGGCACGGAAGACGAAAGTTTCGGATTCCGTGGACGTCTTGAAGACGCCAGTTTCAGAGATAAGCGTTTCTCCTCCTCCTTCCTTCCTCCTTGGGTGACCCTTAGATGCACCCCAGTTACGCGCATAGAACTATCGCAGAGTGGAACTCCCTGTCACCAAGTACAGTAGGGCCATTGTCATTAGATAGCTTTAAACAATGTCTAGAGTTAGATGTTCAAGGGTTAGGTGTAACAAGTTGTTTGTTGTAATATAGCCAGCTGCCGCCGCGCCGCGTGCCTGCGAAGCTGGTGTGTTACGCTGAGGGGCGGTTACAGATCTGCAAAGTCCCGCTTCAGAGAAAAGTGCTTCACGTTACGTTAAACCCAATCGTTCTGGCTGTAGACAGGTTACAACTTTTAACTGTATAAGTTATAGTTGAAGTTGTTTAGGGGCATTGTTATAAGACACATAAGACACCATTGATATATAACACCAAACGAGTTTTTATGCCCAACCGACACTTGTCTTTCCCCGTGGTTTGCTGTACTGGTTCTTCAGTTCTACCTTTATAACTCTTCATTTTTAAGAGTCACTGGTATCTTCTGGGCTTGTGTAAATTCGTAATCACTACTCCACCCCTCAGGCCCATCTCCTTGGGTGACCCTCAGATGCACCCCCGGGTCACCCCAAGACGGCGTGTGCTTCTGGCTGCCTCCGGGTGACCTTCGGGTGACCTCTACTTCACCCCCCTCCCCATCGATCATGCTCCCGTGACGTTGCTCACCCCACCTCGGCCTGACAGTAGCCAAACACAGGCCTGACACACGGTCTGACGCGTGGGGAGTAGCCCCGGAACACGGGCGCCTTAGGGGCGTCTAGCCTGGGTACAATTCTCCACATCACCAATGTATGCTCCTCATGGAGCAAAAATTCCCAAAAATCTGACGAAAAATGGTTACTGGAAGGGCCCTGGGCTGATTTTTAGGGTACCACCCAGAAAATAAAGGACTCATCTTGGGACTTGTTTCTGCAGTTTTTAATACCCTAAGTATCAAATACTGATTGAAATGTGCAAATCTGAAGCGGTAAGTGCCAATATCACAGACAGTGCCAAGATTGCCTTATTCAGAATATTTCCAGTTTTGCTGCACTGAAATCGCATTTGTTAATTTTCTCTACTGTATTCACAAGAACCCTGCCTGTCTAATTCTCTGACTGGACGCGTACAGTTACGGATACGCGTGGACTACTGGCTGGAAATTGAACGTGCCTGAGCATGGTTTTTCTAAATAAAAGTACAGTTCTGGATTCAACAGGCTTTTTCTGACCTCCTGAGTCCTTGATCTTTCCAGCCGGCTTTTTCTAACTATTGTCGTCCTTCCTAGTGTCAAAATCGACCCCATAAAATGGGAGGCACTTGATGGACCGACAGTACTTCCAGCACAGTACAGATACCATGTACCCTACGATGGCCTGGCCGCCAGGCTATCGCAGATCGCTTCAGCCCTACTTTCCCGCCTTTGTTACATTTCTCTGTCCCTTCCCGGTTGCCCGGCTCTCCGTAAGAAGCGGCCTTCCCTGCTCTCCAGTCCCAACCCGCAGCCCAAACACTTCACGGGCCGATCTACCCGGGTTTAATTACTCCGGGTGGACCTACGGCAAATACACGCATTCAGCGCACCAAGATACAGTCAATAAAAACTACGAGTATCGGTCTATTCGGTACAAGCTTGTTTGCCCACGCTTGTCGTCCCACCGTATTATCGTAGTTTGATTGACGTTTTCGCCGGACGATTTGTTGCGCTAATGCTGCACCATACTTTAAGTTTAACAAAAGCAGCCGCATTATGGCCCTATATAACCGGGCAGGCTAAAACTGAACGGTACTCCTACTGAGAAAGGGAAAGACGCAACAACGTCTTCAAGTAGCTACAGCTCCCACGTCTTGTGTGTACAGAGTTCTTAAGTGTTGCTGACGCCTTGAGTAAGCTGTTGTAAGTAGGTTTGGATGTTGAGGCGCTGACGCAGCTATAAGGAGATGACAGTCTGTTGGCCGTGCTAACACCAGCATGTCAGTAGCCAACTCTACAGGCCTGTTTGTTAAACAAACGCCATGTAATATACTCTGACGTCTAGTGGCAAATTTTGAACACACAACAGGCTACACTTTTCTTTCAGCCTAGCCTCTGTTCATTCTAAAGTCTTGAAGAAAGTTCACGGTCTGCTAAGACGTCAGCTGTCAGCGTCTTGAGTCGTAGAAGTGGCCGCGTGATAACAGGAGGGGCTGCTTAAAGTGGCCCATCCATCTTATGTTGTTTGATTCTGCCACCGTGCCGGGCTTCACGACGTTACATTGTAACTAATGATTAGTTCATGAAGTTAATAATAAATAAACCGTCAACACTCCGACCTACCAGCTGGGCTGTGTCTCCTTTAAGGAGATTAATCTTCACTGAGACGTCGTCTTGGGGCGTGTCGGGAGGAGGACGCGCATTCTTGTGAGGAAGTCCCAGGGTAGGGAGGCTGAAGGCTGCAGTCTTCTTGGTGCTGTGTGAGCGGCAAGGCACGGTTCTAGGCCCGTGTGGGGAAGTCGTCGATTTGGCTCTGCCGTTTCTAAGACCTAAGAACTTTCTACAGCTCTTACAAGGAACGTGAAGTCTGTTCTAGGCTCGTGTGGGAAGGTCATCGCTTGCCCTCTGCCGTCCCTTCTTACAGCTTAATTCCATCGTTTTATAAGGAACGTAAGGTGGTTCTTTAAAAAGGAGGCAGAAGTCTTTAGTCTTCATTCTTCTCGGTGCAGTGAGAGGCAAGGTTCGGCTCTAGTCTCGTGCAGGGAAGTCGCCGATTTGGCTCTGCCGTTCCTCCTTCTTACAGCTTACTTCCATCGTCTTGCAAGGAACTCAAGGTGGTTCTTAAGGTGTTTCCAAGATGCCCAAGATATTCCTGATCAAGCAGAGGTCTGAAGAGGCAGCACAAGTCTCGGAACAACACGGTGAGACGTTTTCCTTTTAAGAAACTTTCACTGATGAAAATTCTAGGAGTTGTGAGAAATTGTAATACATGACGGAAAATGTGTTGTTTTTTTCAGTCCAAGCTTTTTCTCGTATATAACGTAACTGTTGTGTATCGTTTTTTTGTTGGTAGAATAGACTAATTTTTTTGCACAAGATGCATATGGGATTCTCAACCATTTGGCTGTGCATCAAACTAACAATTAGTGTTCTTCATGTCTGTTGGAAAGATACTTAGAGCCCCGGACCTTTGTAGATCTAGTTAACACTTTTGTAAAACGAATTTTCTCAGTCCACAGCCAAAAGACCGCTTGTTGGTACTTAACTCGACTAAGTTCCCTTAGGATTTTATCACAGAGTAACCCCAAAATTCAAGTCACTGCTATTTTGTTCCAAGTATTTCCAACTGTTATCAAGTGCATCGAACAGCTGCTCTTGTTTTTAGGTGAAAGTTCTGAGAAAATTATGACGATAAGACAATAAACTATCGGTGTCCAGTTTCACCCTACTAACCTATAAGTGAAAATTCAGTCCAGTTTCAGCCTACTAACCTATATCACGGCTATTGAAGTACGGAAAGACGCAAGGCTTGTGGAGAGATGTTACAAAAACAAGATGACGATGGTTTACGCGCTTGTGAAGGTTCAAACAATCAATATTGTAAGAAATAAGCCCTCATAAAAGCGTTAAAGATGGTTTGAACTGAAGGTTGCAACCGCTGAACCAACCAAAACGTTCGACAGATCGTCCCAAGAACGACTTTTGTGTGCTATTTTGCCTGTTGAATCATACTTTATATCTTGAATTATATTCATGTTACGAAATCGAAGGGGTCACACAAATACAATTTTGGTAGCTATACGTCCGCCCCTACCGCGAAGGAGTGATAATCCCTTCGGCCAAGGAAGCCATACGCCCCGCGAACCCCGAGACTGGCACCCTGGCTCTAAGAAAGATGAACGGTTTTGAGCAGACTGGATTTGGGCAGCGGATACTGGAGCGGACATTAGGGCTTCTCCCCACAAAAAAATCTATCGCTTATGAACGCCAGCGTTGACTGTGACGTTACTTCTAGGCAGTGTTTTACCGGGTCGTGTTCTAATCTTCCTCGGGGGACCGCTCGCCTCCCCCCGCCGCGACCAGCCTTACATGCCCCGGTGGTACGTTACGGTAAAACTTCTGTATCTCCTGTCTAGTTTTCCTTCTCTTCTTTGATTTTGTTATATCAATTAAAAACGGGAATGTAACGGTAAACCTTCTCATGCTGCATGTAGACAGGTTATAATACGAGTTTTTATGCCTAACCGAAGCTTGTCTTATCCCACGCTATAACATTTCCTCTAGACAAGAAACATTACAAACACTTCTAACTTTATAACTCTGAATTTTTAGAGTCACTGCTGTTTACTGTGGTTGATTTGCAGAAATAATATCCTGTAACTTATACGACTACAAGCTGTTGGACGGTTTGTGCATCGTCTCATTGTGCATTTTTCTTGGAAGGATCTTTACCGTAGTCCGATTTCAGTCTGGTAATATCTACCTTTTGAGTTTCTGTACCATTTGTTCAGTCTTTACGGACCCTTTACAAGAGCCAATTCCATCAACATATGGTAGAGATCAACTCCCATCATAAGATACTAAGTTAGTAACAGTTCTTGTACAAGAACAACATGCCATAGGCTGACAAAAGCTTCAGTTCTAGCTTTAAAACTGCGATTTTGTATAGTTGTTAATGCTGTCTTCTAGGCTTGGTTGACAGATACAGTATAAGACTAGTATATGATTCCCATGTTGTCGGACCACACACAGTAGCACAAACTATAACAACCCCGTACAGTCGGCCACATGGCCGGTGGCCTGGCCTGATAACCACCAGTTATTATCTGATATCTCCCTAATAACCACCAGTTCGTGACGTCATCGGTTCAAGTTCAAAGCGTTGTCATGGCAACCTGAGATGTTTGTGTCGTCTGAAGGGTTTCGTCTTCGTCTTTATCTGTCTTCATCGGCCGTAACTTATGTCTTAAAGATCCCTGTAGTGACTTAAAGTGTGTATTAATCTGATCATAAAACGGGGGCAAGATCCTAGATTGCGTTCTGGCGTCTGGAGTAAGAAACAGTAGACACCTTATGATTTCTCCAGACGTCTTTAAGTTTTGATTAAGACTCCAATGATAAGAGGGAAGCCACAGTAAGATTTCTTCCCAACGATACAAGCAGTTATGAAACAAGTTTGAACTGTAATGGCCAACACAAAAATTTAAGTCACCCAAATTTTCGACTGTACAACTCCAGTCTTTGTCATTACAGTTCAAACTTGTTTCATAATGACTTCTACCAACACAGATGAACTTTCAAGATATGATACAAGCATTTTCTTACAAAATGTCCCAGGAAGATTTCTTTCGACGATGTTAACTCGGACTAAAATATCAACGATAAAACCAGAAGCAAGTTTAAGATTTCTCAGTGTCTCTAAGGAGTTGGACGTAGACTAAATAACGACACAGAAGTTACCGTAAGACTTCTGAAAGTTTCGTGAGGGCTGGCAATAAGAAATGGTACAAGTTGCTGTCTTGAATTCGGGAAAAAAATTGATTTCGGAATAAGACACTAAGGATACAACACAATTATGACTTCTTCAGTGTCGCATGATTGTAACAAACTGACTAAAGATACATATGTATATGTAGGGACTTAATTAAACCCTAAACAGGTGTTTAACCGTCTTTAAAAAAGTAAATCTTGATGCCAGTAAGGCCTGGTCTCTACGTATATACGTTAGGTTCAGATATACTAGCAACAGGGACGTAAAAGTCACAGTTAGGCTTCCTGAAATTGACCAGAGACGGTTTCTGCTACATTGGGAGTCAAGTACACGGGATTTATGGCGTTATGTGATGCTTTACCTTGTAAACTATGCTATATGCTCGATCTATATCTACATACGCTGTACATGTTTCTTCTCTCTTCTTGAGACATTTGTAGACGAATTTACAGCAGAGTTTTTCTAACACATCTTTTCTAACACATAAGTTAACTAGACATCATTTGTAAGGGCATGCCATCCTTTGTTAGATGTACATATTTTGGTTTTAACTGTATTTCATAAACAAAGGTAGATCGTAAATCGCTGTACAGTGAACGCTCTATAATACAGTGTATTGAAAAATTACATAAATAGCTAGAGCTTGAAATAAGCCGTACCTCAATCCTTGGTTGATAACTCTGATATTTTATGGCATGACTGTTTCTTGTTCTTTTCTGAGCTGTTATTGTCTCTGCTATAAGCTGATGACTAAACTAGTCACTAGTCTAGTGTAGTGAAATGAGCCGTAGCGCCGCACGCGAACAGTTCAGTGGTTACTGTGAGTAAAAACAAACTCCGCTCACTTAGAAACAAACAGTCTGCAGTACGGGAGTAAATCTTACACAGGTTTGGTGTAACGGCCTACTGTACAAGCAGATGTTTGGGTTTTGGCTTATTTTTGGCGTGTTTTGGGCTTTTTTATCGGTCTTTTTTATCGGGAAGTAACCCTAACCCATTCAGGCAAGAACTAGATTTGGTACTGGATAGTGTAGAAAGAATTGAATAAAGGATGAAGTTCTCGCGGTCAAAATTCGGTATCTATACCTATATCAGTATAGCCGGTATAACCGCCCTTCGGCGGAACACACCAGCTTCGCAGGCACGCGGCGCGGCGGCAGCTGGCTACATTACACCGTACGACTTGTTACACCTAACCCTTGAACATCTAACTCTAAACATTGTTTAAAGATATCTAATGACAATACCCCTACTGTACTTGGTGACAGCGAGTTCCACTCTGCGATAGTTCTGAAAGAATGATTTCTTGAACACCTCAAGGGCCCTCAAGCCTTGTTTGATAACTCTGGTGAAGGCATGGCTATTTCTTGTTCTCTTCTGGGCTGGTATTAGGTACTTAGTAGTAGTTACGTCCACCAGTTTATTAGTCATCTTGTACATCATGCACTCCTGTCTACTGCTTAAAACCTTCACCTTAAAGCCTAGGAACCCTGACCCGTGAATGTGCCCATGTTTGTACATCTATGATGCCTGCTGTATTCAGGTTCTACGCCTGTGTTTATCGAGCGTTTGTTTCACTGTTTGAGCCATCCAAGAGGTGTCGGGATATGGACGACTTATTTGTGGCACTTATTTGTAGTAAGTAGCATTGTGGTACCTTTGTTCGCAGATAAAACGTTTCGTAGAAAATTAGTATGCCTGGTCTATTCACGTTGTACGCCAGTGTTTATCGAGCGTTTGTTTCACTGTTTGAGCCCTCCAAAAGGTGTCGGAATAAGGAAGGCTTATTTGTGGTACGTTTGTGCGGGGATAAAAAAGTTTCGTAGAAAATTAGTAAGGACGGTTTTCACTGATTTAGACAAGAACTTATGGTAGTCCAATCGGCATCTGGAGTGTTCCAACAAAACAGAGCTAGGTGTGCTCTCACTTTACTCAACTGGAGTACCGCCTCATCACGTTAACATAGGATGCTGAGTGTCGACATGTAAGACCAACAACAAGATTGTGCCATTGCAAGTATGTCAGCCTGGAGCCTGAGGCTGTCCTGCCTTAGGTTTGAGGCTAACGTTCCCCACGGTCAGACCCTATGGTGATCCTTCTGTAGACCCTGCCGTGTTCTGAATGAACCAGCCGTGCTGCCAAGTTTGAGGCTAAAGTTCCACACGATAAGACTCGGTGGTGACCCTGCCTATAGTTTGAGGCTAATATTCCCCACGGTCAGACTTGTAGTGTCAGACTGAACTACTGACCCTGCCGTGTTCTGACTAGCCTGGATGCCAGTACCCCAAAGCACACTGGACACAAAATATCTCAGTGTGCACTGAGATATTTTGTGTCCAGTGTGCTTTGGGTCTGGCATCCAGGCTATGTTCTGACACGTTCCGCTTCCTTATCGGCTTCTTGCAGTGATGAAGACAGTCGTGCTGCCCAGCCTGAGGTTCCAGGCTAGACCTGCTGACAGTGCCTGGTGTTTGAGGCTATAGTTCCCCACGGTCAGACTGAACTGCTGACATGTAGACCTGTTGGTGACCCTGCCGTGTTCTGACACGTTCCGCTTCCTTATCAGTTCCGAGCGGTGATGAAGACAAATTGGGAGCCGCTGGGCGGACAGGGGGCTTCCAGGGGGCAGGGGGACAGTAGCCTCGGAACAGACTCCTCCAGAGGGCAGGGGTACAGTAGTCGGAACAGGCTAGGCTCCTCCACAGGGCTGGTGAGGGGACCCTAGCCTAGAAGCAGGCTCCTGTCGGGGCGTCATGAAGACAAATTGGGAGCCGCTGGGCGGACGGGGGGCTTCCAGGGGGCAGGGGGACACTAGTCTCGTAACAGGCTCATGTAGAGGGCAGGAGACTCTAGCCTCGTAACAGCCTCCTGTAGAGGACTTAGGTTTCTAGGGTGATTGTTGACCTAAGTAAAGTTGATACTAGAATGACGATACTCTGGATGAGTATACAAGTAGTTACTACTGTACAGTCTTGTTGTTTGCTCTCAGTCTACTTTAACATTTCCGTGATGGGGCGAAACACAGTTATACAAGCCAGCTTGTTGTTACTACTGTTTAGTCTTGTTATTGGCCTTAAAGTTTGGCAGCTCCTCTTAGCTTCCCCCGTTTCCGTGATGTGGCGATAAACAGTCGCGATGAGGACATCCGACGTGGCGACAGTTGCGTGAGGAGAACAGGAAGACATGAATCACTACTGACGACAACTTCAAGTCTGATAGGACTGATCGTGAGGGCTGCCAGCGTGGAGCTAGTGTATCCAGAAATGTGCCTCTCTAGTTTTACGAGTCTTTTATGCCTGTATGGGTTAGGGTTAGGATTGGGTACGGTTCTGACTGAACGTGGACTATCCAGAACCGCGCCTCAGAAATTAAAGTGTCAGAATGATTCTAGATAAACCATGGTTCTGGATATAACCTGACTGACAGCTTGGGACTGTGAGACTGGGTAAGAAAGTCTGGGGGACGACACCTGTACTGGGCAACCTGGGGACGACATGCCTGTCCAGGAAGACATGAATCACCTCTTACCACCGCCGACATGTTTGATAGGACGGGCCTGGGCTAACACAAACTCAGCAAACTGGAGAAGACACCTGTACGGCCCTAAACATGAGGAGAGCCGAGGCCGGGCGAGACGAACAGGAAGACATGAATCACGTATGCCGTCCGCAGACATGTCTGATAGGACGGGCCTGGGCTACACTGGCTAACACAAACTCGGCATACTGGGGATGACACCTGTACTGGGCAACCTGGGGACGACCTGTCTGTCCACGGCTATCTGGGAAGGACACGCCATTATAAAGGTGGATATTCGAGCCGTCAGCTTCTTGTCAGACAATAATGACTGACAGTTATGATTGACAGCTATATATGTATGACTGACAGCCCACTTCTAAAGCCCACACGCACGATCCTGTGCTAAGCTGGTCCATGTGTGAGTCAGTGTGACACATACTTCTGTTATCAGCCACTCCACTGACAGACGACCCTAACGACAAGTCTCCTATGATTGACGATAATGGTTGACAGTTATGATTGACAGTTTTGATTGACAGTTACGGTTCCATGCTCTCCTGAAGGCCCACACGCAAGACTGTGCTAAGCCGGTCCATGTGTGAGTCAGTGTGACACATACTTCTGTTATCAAACCCTCCGCTGACAGACGACCCTACCGACAGCCCCTGTGATTGACACTAATGATTGACACTTATGATTGACAGTCCGTTGCTATGCACTTCTGAAGCCCACACGCACATCCCTGTGCTAAGCCGGTCCATGTGTGAGTCAGTGTGACACATACTTCTGTTATCAAACCCTCCGCTGACAGACGACCCTACCGACAGCCCCTGACAGTCCTGCTGATACCGCGCATGCCCCGGTGATACCGCGCGTGTTTGGCGCGTCTGTCCGCCATCTTGTCTCCCCTGGAGAAAACTCAGACCGTGACCTCAACTTGACCTGCTCTTGACATCACCATGGCAACGGGGATAATGGGGCTTTCCTCGCCTGATATGTGCCAGGTAACCATGTAGGTGCTGAGGTGGGCTGTTGGCGGTCTCTACAGCGTTTTGCATACGATAAAACAACACAGAAATGTGAACTGTTCATTGAGAAATAACCACTACAGCCTCTACCAGGCTTCGGGAGGCGGCCGGAAAGAGTAGAAACTGGCCAAATAGAGAGAGATAACATGCCAGGGGGGTTGGTCTGCTGAAGAGTACATGCACAGTTAACCGCACCCGAAAAAATATATTGTATAGCGGACCAACTCCCCCGACATGTTATCTCTCTATTTGGCCAGATTCTACTCTTTCCAGCCGCCTCCCGAAGCCTGGTAGAGACTATCATACGGCCCTTTCCGGATGTCCTGGACGTCGTGTTTGACCCAAGACACTGATGTTTGTTTGTTTGTTTGTTTGCCCGGCAGGTGTGATGAAGCGCCCCCTGTCTCCAGACGCCCACCCTGCAACACACTGCCCTGATGTTTTAGTACCGACGCCGCTGCCGCCCCGGCCGGATCTCCCCTTCCACCCTCTCCCCGTCATGGCTTCCCCGGCTCTTCGCATGTTGCCGGTCCCTCCGCACCTACTGCCCTGCAGTCTCTGGTGCGGCTCTCCACCGGCGGAGACCCTCATCCCACCCAGGTAGGAATAGTGGTATCTAGTCTTCTAGTCTATCGCGATTGGGTCGGGTTTTCTTCGGGGCTGCTTAAGCTCTTCCCCGCCCGCCGCTCAGCTAGGTACCTTGTAGGTTTTTCACGGCGGGAGTTTGATTAGATACCAGCTATAGTAGTCATAGCAAGTTTATTCTCTAGCTGACTTCTGGACCTAGTCTCCTTGCCAGCCAGACGAAGAAGAAGAAGAACTTGTAACAGCACTGTAGTGGTAGAAGTAGTAGAAGTAGTAGACATAGTACTACTACTAGTATTCACGGTAGTAAAAGTAGTAGTAATAGGGGGCGTTCTGAAAGTGCTGAGCTGTAACTGGCGTAGCTCCGTCCAACAATGATTTTACATGCTCTTTTCTGTACCCTTTCGCTTGCAGGTTCCCCCTACTGCACACCCCCCTTCCGTTTTCCTTCTCCCCGTACCCCCCTCCCCCTCTTACTGTGCCCGTACCGAAAGTTTCCGCGGATATCAACGGGGGAGGGGCGAGGGGGAAGCCGCGGTTCGACTTCGCTAACCTCGCGAAGGCCGTGACGGAGGACGATACAAACAGCAGTACCCGGCAGCTGTTTCACGGGCTCGGGTTTCCGGCACCGCACCGCCCGCTCAACCCCGGCGGGTACGCCTCCGCCTTCGTCCCGAAGGTGGACCGCCGGTCGGCCCGGGGGCGCCTCCCGTCGCGAGCCAAGAAGGAGTTCATCTGCAGGTTTGTTTGTTTGTTTGTTTATTTTTTTTTTTATTCCAACATTTCATGACTAGACATGGCGACAGCACACTCAAGTGGCTTTATTCGGTGGTTATAGCAACTGACAAGGCTTTATCACACCATATTCACCTCTGGGCAGGTCATTAACCCTTAATTAATAACATCAATTGATAACAATATTACATTATACATGTTTTAGCCAAACATTTTGTGGGGCCGTGTGGCGTAGCGAGTGCTTGACTCGGAACCAAGAGGTCCCGGGTTTGAGTCCTGCCATGCCACCGATATTGTGCCCTAATTGGGAAAGGCACTTAACACGATTTTCCTCACTTAGCTCAGGTGAAAATGAGTATTGTATTGTCCCATGTGTTGGTGGCGGCATTGATATATGTTGAAAAAAATTGAGTGTGCCGTCACCACGTCTTGTGATGACATGTTGGAATATTAAAAAAAAAATTACATTTTTAAGGTTCTGCGGTCGGCACTTCACAAAGTCGTACAACCTTCTGATTCACGAGAGAACTCACACGGACGAGCGGCCCTACTCCTGCGACATCTGTCACAAGGCTTTCCGCCGACAGGACCACCTCAGGGACCACAAGTAAGTACGACACACACACAAACATACACACAAACTCACACACACACACACACAAACATACACGCAAACTCACACGGACGAGCGGCCCTACTCCTGCGACATCTGTCACAAGGCTTTCCGCCGACAGGACCACCTCACGGACCACAAGTAAGTACGGCACACACACAAACATACACACAAACTCACACACACACTCACACACACAAACACACACAAACATACACACAAACTCACACGGACGAGCGGCCCTACTCCTGCGACATCTGTCACAAGGCTTTCCGCCGACAGGACCACCTCACGGACCACAAGTAAGTACGACACACACACAAACACAAACAAGCACGTACCACAAGTCTAGTCGCTTATTAAGCCACAATGAACAACTTTCTTCTGTCTACTTCCTTCAGGTAGTGCTGGAAGGGTTTATTTTTAGTTGAGACGCGTATCATCGTTGCTTCTTTAAGTGTTTTAACCTTTTCCTTATTCCCTAAGGTACATCCATTCCAAGGAGAAGCCGTTTAAGTGCCTGGAGTGCGGGAAGGGTTTCTGCCAGTCGCGGACTCTGGCGGTGCACAGGACGCTCCACCTGCAGGAGTCCCCGCACAAGTGCCCCACCTGCGGCCGGACCTTCAACCAGCGGAGCAACCTGAAGACGCACCTGCTGACTCACACGGACATCAAGCCGTACCAGTGCGCCAACTGCGGGAAGGTGTTCCGGAGAAACTGCGACCTGCGAAGGCACAGCCTCACACACTGTGAGGAGGGGGAGGGAGAGACGACGCTAGGGTCACCCGATCGCGAGGACACCCGGTCTACTCCCAGCCCTGGCCAGCAGCAATAACGAACGCAAAGACAGCCACAGAATATCTAGAAATCTAGAGAAAAAGAACTGACTGAGAATAGTTTGGGTTCCTGGAACGCAAAGGCAGCCACAGAAACTGAAGATCTAGAGACTCGGGGTAGCCTGGATGCCAGACTATTTCTAGGGCGTGTACAGGCCAGGTCCTTGGTTCTAGGACTTGCACAGGATAGCCCCTCGGTTCTAAGGACAATATACCTCCAAGGAAAAGTCTGGCAACACTCTTGACATCCAGGCGACCAAGATTTGAGCTCTGAAGAGACAGAACTAACAGACTGAGGATACTAAAAGTTTTTAAGATGGTCTGCTTTGGAACACCCGCAAACCAGCAATTTGGCCTGTAGAGATGTAGAATTCTGAGAAACCTAGAGGACGAGGACAATAGTGATGGACCATGGCCATTTTCGCTTAGTCCACGGAAGATGCCTGACCTAGTGACAGTTACTGTAGTGAATAGCCCGGAGGACTATAACACTGTTTGTTGGCCCAGGTTACACCAGAACAATTGCAGCCGCAATATGAGAGTAATGACTACAGTTCAGTAGATGTAGATCATTCAACACCAGGTACGGTCTTCTAGCCTGTTCTATAGCGTAGTATCATCCAAGTTTGGATAGAAATGTTACAAATAGTTTCTGCTTTACTGAAATGAGGATAGTTAAGCGTTTTGGATACCTAAGGATATCCGAGTGGTCGTTTTCAAGACAGAAACTTTACTCTTTTAGTGTGTTAATGTATGTATGTTACGTTCATATTTCAGACAGACTTTTGTCTGTTTTTTTTTCTTTTCCATTCTTTCTCTTTGTATACTAATGTTGATTTGTTGCAATATAAATGGTGATGGTTTAAAATTGAGGCCTGTTCAGGGATGGTGAAACACATTCCGTGCCATATATAAGATTTGGACGATTATAGTTCGTTTTAATTAGGTCCTATTTAATAATGTTTTGGTGGAAAGAAAATGTGAATTCTTAATAAGATACTAAATGTACAAAGAAGTGGAATACATGTATGATGTCAATGTTACGAGGCTGTCTATTTTTTTCGGGAAATTTTAGCTCAGATATTTCGACAAGAGGTGTTCTCTCCAGCTGACCAACTCCCCTGGCATGCAATCTGGTCGATTTCTACTCTTTCCAGTCGTCTCCCGAAGCCTGGTAGAGGCTACATATTTGCTATATTTGACTAATTTTGACCACACGTAACTTTGTTCTCCTTTGGAGACTAGGTCTAACCTGCTCGAGATAGGTGCCCCTGGCATGACCCTGTTTGCGGCAGGTTCAAAGAAGTCTGATGTAGACTAGTGTACAGACAGGGTGTTAGCCGGACAGTCCCAGTGTTAGCCCTCACCGTTAACGTTAGTCTTGTGGAGATTAGGCCTAACCTGCCCTAGGTGTCCTAGAAGCTGGTGTGCTACTCTGAAAAGCTATACCGGCTATACAGATACACTCATACAGGTACAGAAGTGCCCCCGACATGACCCTGTTTGCGGCAGGTTCAAAGAACTCAGGTGTAGACTAGTGTACAGACAGGGTGTTAGCCGGACAGTCCCGGTGTTAGCCCTCACCGTTCCGCATACATACACCTGTATCGGTCCCGGCTTGTTCGGGCTGCCGATCGAACATAACCTACCTGAAAAACACCTGGGGTCAACCTCAGGTCAGTGTGGCAAGCGGGGATGTTTCACATCTTTATTGCTGATACCTCTTTCACTGTGGTATCAGCATTAAAGAAACCTATAATGGGTGAAAAGAAACCTATAGTAGATGTCACTGGAAGACACACGAAAAATGTCCAGATTATGCATGATGTACAAAATGACTAATAAACTGTAGGACGTCCCAACTACTAAGTACATAATACCAGCCTAAAAGAGAACAAGAAATAGTCATGCCTTCAAGTACCAGTTCCAGAGTTTTCAAACAAGGATTGGGGTGTTCAAAAACTCGTTTTTCCTTTTTATCTATCATAGATTGGAACTCATGGACACCAAGTACAGTAGGGGCGTCGTCACGAGAAAGCTTTAAACAACACATTGTGGCAAAAAGGGAAATGTGTACTGAAAGTCTTATCCCTATTCACCCAGAACAGAAGTTCCTGGTAGCAGTTACTAATCCCTTACGCTAAGAAGATAATCCCTAAGCTGATCTTTCGGTGTCTACAAGATAGTATCATTGGCAAGACAGTATCAAATTGGCAGGACAGTATCTAGTAAGTTTCGCTGGTGAAAAAAAAAGATACAGAGCAAAAATGATATCCTGATGTAAAAAAGGTAACGAAAGCTGAAGTTTAAACCTCTACTTGTGGAGTACCAGACCTTTTGTTGGCTACAAGACAATATCAAATTGGCTACAGTTTGGCTGGCAAAAAGAGATAACTGTACAAAAGGAAATCCTAATAAAAACGCCTAAAAATACGTCAAATATGCCGGAGTCTAAACCTCATCTTGTAGATAGAGTACCTGGTAGCGGTTAATCCGATAGAAACACACCCCAGTACTTTGAAGACCCCGCCACACTTAACTTATCGGTAAGGGTAGGGGATATCGGGGGGTATGATGGCAAAGCCTATTAGCTCCTGGTACCAAACTAACAAACAAGAAACAAACATGTAAATAGGATCTGTCTACTGTTGGAAAGTAAAGCTGACAGGGACAGGGGTCAATCTGGGGACAGTAAGACGTGACGGGGAAAAGTCTTATACTTGCCAAGATGTTACAGTCTTCCTCTTAGGAGCTGAATACCGTGAAATAAGACAGTGATTCAACTTTTAACTTTTGACAAAGAGACACTAAAACATGTACTAGTATCCATCAACATTTTACCAATTGCTTTATGCACAAGTTACAGTCTGTCGATCGGCCTTTCTGATATGGGGATTCGGAGTCTAGAAGGGAATTATGATACAGTTATGTATGGGGAAGATTGTTCCCATCAAGACAGATCACAAAATTCTCGTCCGAAAGTTTTATGTCTTATCCAGTGGTGTTCGAGTATGACAAGACTCTTTTTTTCTTTTTCTTTTGTTTGTCCCAACACTAAAACTGCGACAAAGACAAGTACGCTCATCATAAAAAGCCTTCCGTGGTGATTTCCTGCCTTCCACAGAGGCCACCTGTACGTGTGGGTTCAGAAGCCCGGGCATGACCTTTAGATGACCTTCCCGCCCATTGTCGCGCCCCCCCCTCCCCCTCCCACGTCCCGTCACGGTCCGTCGCCCCTGAGTGACAGGCAGTTTACTCGCACGATTACCCGCCTGACAGCTTTCCCGAATCCAACATGGCGGCTTGGCAGGTTCTAATCCAAGATGGCGGCCATCTCAAAGCAGATGTGTGGGGCCACTATTGAGCGACAGCCCGTTTAATACTCGCGCGATTACCCGCCTGACAGCTTTCCCGAATCCAACATGGCGGCTTGGCAGGTTCTAATCCAAGATGGCGGCCTGGCAGGTTCTAAACCAAGCAGATGTGCAGGGCCACTCATGAGCGACAGGCAGTTTACTCGCCAAAATATCCGAATTACACCAATTCTTATTATGTTTACCGAAGGGAAACATTGTTTTTGCTAAGTTTCCTCCTCTTCTTCTCCAAACCATTAAGGTCAATGACCTGAACCAGACGTCTGTCACCATTGTAACAGTGTTGGGTTACATCATATTGCAATTTTATAGCAAGAGGGATGTAGACTCCTGTCACCAGATCTATGAATGTGTTTGAGTATGAATTAACAGAGTAGACCATATGCGAGTGGATTATTACCATAATAGATCGCGCTGGGGCTAACGTAACAGCCGTCGTGAAAAACCTGCCGGGGACCTAGCTGAGTTGGTCGGGTAAGAGCTTCAGCAGCTCCGAAGAAAATACGCCCCAACCGGACACCATGCTAAGGCTAAAAGACCCTGGGAAAAGCCTGGGTTTGAGGCTAGCGGTGTTTGTGTCGTTTATGTCACCAGTACTGCGTGTCACCTGTACACAGGCGCCTGTGCTGACGTGCGCAGAAAGGGGAACCTGTTAGCCGCCGTGTCGGCTGAGCCTGGGCACAAACACAACCGTCACACAACCGTGTTTACCGTCTTCTAACGTTCTCTCAGCGTTACGTCTTACACACGGACTACTCGTCACACAAGTCTTACACGAAAGTCTTCTGTCAGCGTTAAAGTCCGTGGTAAGGTGGTTCAAGTCCCAGAACATTCGCTTGCAAAGTATGTAACACTAGTAATACTTTATAGGGCTATATTGGACATATAGCACATTTTCAAATGAACAATCGCTAGCGCTAGAAATTAAACGTAACAAATAGTCAAGTTTGGTAAGATGGATTAGTCTCATAATATGGTTTTCTATTGCTACATACAATGTAACAACGGTTGTTACATTGTATGTAGCAATAGATACAGGATCTAGATCCAGTAATTGCCATACGTTTTACCTTGTACAATTAATTGCTTTGTACTTGTAGTAAAGTTTATACATCTTTATTTTAAAACGGGAATTAGAACGTGAGCTTTCAGGACCGTCAAATGGCGGTTGATTCCTACAGACGTGCCGAAAGCTCCCCGCTTGTCCCGGCTCTGACAGGTTATTAGGAGCGGGAAGCAAATTTGTCATCAGGCGGCAAACACTCGCGAAGGGCGAGTCGGTGTCGGCTACTGTGGCGCGCTTTCACGTGCACTCTCGCGTGACCAACTACTAAGTACCTAATACCAGCCCAGAAAAGAACAAGAAGCCATGCCTTCAAGTACTAGAGTTATCAACCAAGGATTGAGGTGTTTAAAATCCATTCTTTCCTAGAACTATGATCGTAGAGTGTCAAGAAAAGAACAAATAATAGCCATGCCTGAATTCAAGTACCAGAGTTATCAGCCAAGGATTGAGGTGTTCGAAAATTCATTCTTTCCTAAAACTATCGCAGAGTGGAACTCGCTGTCACCAAGTACAGTAGGGGCAATGTCATTAGATAGCTTTAAGCAATGTTAAGAGTTAGATGTTCAAGGGTTAGGCTTAACAGGTCGTACGGTGTAATGTAGCTAGCTGCCGCCGCGCCGCGTGCCTGCGAAGCTGGTGCGTTACACCAAAGGGCGGTTATACACGTACGTACGGCTATACAAATACAGAATCGAGCTTGGCTACTGTGGCGCCTATTCACGCGCAGTCTCGCGTGACTTGGGCTACTGTGGCTCCTATTCACGCTTAGTCTCGCGTGACTTGGGCTACTGTGGTTCCCATTCACGCTCAGTCTCGCGTGACTTGGAACAGCTCCCGGTTTTCCACGGGTCGTTAAAATGGGCAGCTCAACACCCCGGTAAAATAAACACACTTCTCGCAAGTGCCGATCAGAGGGTCGTTTCAACGGCTCTTATAACAACAACAACTGCTAACGGCAAGGCCCTGCAACCGACATAGATAGGCTGGTGTGTACTACAGTAAACATTTAGCTACTGTACTTGTACAAAAGCATCTGGATGGATTCTAAACAACCAATTATACTTGCCTGAATATCTAAGATTCATTAACGTACTAAGTGCTGTTTCAACGGCTCTTATAACAACAATAAATGCAAACGGCAAGGCCCTGCAGCCGACAAAATAGGCTGGTGTGTACTACAGTAAACATTTAGCTACTGTACTAGCACAAGTTACTCAAGCACCTGGATTTAAAGCTCATGTTGAAATATCACCAGGCGTTCTTAGAACAGAACCTTATAACCTTTAGGACACAGAAGCAGAACTTAACTATTCAGATATGGTGTAGTTAGTAGAACATGGTGCCCTTGACCTTCTCATTTCGTAGATGTGTAACCCTTTAACGTGGCGTCGTGTGGCGTAGTGGATAGAGCGTTCGGCGCTCAACAAGGAGCCCCGGGTTCGAACCTGGGTCGGAGCACGGGGGCATGTCCGAACATGCGAACCGACGTTGTGCCCTTGGGAAAGGCACTTTACACGTATCCCCCCTCAATTAGAGGGTCAAGTCTCCAACGGCAGTTGTCTTCAGCTGGCGGACGAGAGCAGCGCCAGGCGGGCTGGCGTGATCAAGGCGGAACTTGAGCGTAACCAAGTCACCGGCAGCTCGCTGCAAGCACCCGAACCGGAACCAGCACGTCTCCCTCGATGGATCCGCTGGGGAAGACGGATGCCCAAGTGTGTGGGTCTCAGATTCGCAACCTGTTATCCACCTTAAACAAATTCACGCGAAGGCTACCGTGTCAACTGTGACCCTCACTCAGGTGCAGGGGCTGACACGGTCATCATACTCGGAAAGTCTGTATATCTGTACATGAATCTGTATCTGTGCATGACTATGTATCTGTACATGACTCTGTATCTGATTACAAATAAAGATCACGAGTGATTGCCAAGAAAACCCTTTAATGGCAGGTCTGTAGTTATTGTGCCCAGGCGTAGGCGCCTGAGAGCTGCCTGTCGGGTGCCGGGTGAGTTCTAGTCGGGTGACTGCTGAGTTGACGGGCTTGCTGACGGCTGGTCTCAGCCCGTGTTTTGACCTAGTGTGGGTCTGGCATCCAGGCTAGCCTAGCCCAGGCTCCTACCCGCGGTTGCCTGCCTGTTTGGGCCTAGTGTGCTATGGGCCTGGCATCCAGGCTACCTCAGGCCGGGCTGTAGGCGCCTGAAATCTGACGGGTACAGGAGTTAGTAGTTGCTGTGCCCATGCCTGGTGAGTGGCTGTCAGGTGCCTGCCGAGTTGACTGCTGAGTTGACAAGACGCGGCCAGCCCGTGTTTGGGCCTAGTATATGGGTATGGCATCCAGGCTAGCCCTAGCCAGGCTGTAGGCGCCTGAGAGCTACCCTGGGTGCCTGGCCCACAACACACTAGGCCCACTTGATAACTTTGAGCCTAGTGTGTTCCACCAGTCGGTAGTTGTTGTGCCCATGCCGGGTGAGTGCCTGTCAGGTGGCTGCTGAGTTGACGGGCGCGGTGACAGGTCCTGTCGGCCCGTGTTTGGGCTCCGTCACTCAGGATTAGGGTTGGGATGGGGGTCAACTGGAGGGGAGGGGGTCACCAAGGGGTCGACCCCGGGGGCACGGGGGGTCACCAGCTACTACTGCAGATAGCCTGGCACAGCAGGCGTCGCTGGGAGGGCGCCGGAGGTGTCAGCCCTGGTGTCAGCCCGTGTTTGGGCGCCGTCAGTCAGGATTAGAGAGGGACTGGGGGTCAACTGTAGGGGAGGGGGTCACCCCGGGGGCACGGGGGGTCATAAGCTACTACTTCAGGTAGCCTGGAACCGCAGGCTTCTGAAAGGGATGGTTAATGGAACAAAACAGCAGAGGGCCAATAACTACTAGTGCAAATAGAATTGAACCACAGGCTTCTACGGATGGTATAATGGAGCACAGAGCACAGGTCAGCAGCTTCTACCTTACTTAGACTGGAACCGCAGGCTTCTATTAAAGGATCATATAATGAAGCACTACGGTAATGAAGCACAGAGGAACTACTACGGCAAATATATTGGAACAAGGAACTTCCCTAATTGGAACCATCTTAGTAGGGTATTAATAGGGGGCACAGAATGTAGTGTGACTCCCAATAGACTAGAACCACAGGCGTCTAAGGAAGGTGGTCAAGAACTACTGACTGCGCATGCACATAGACTAGAAACACAGGCTTCTAAAGAAGGGTATCTGTGAGTACGCGGGTTCGGGAACTACTACTGTTTTTTTAGACTAGAACCACAGGCTTCTAAAAGAACAGGGTCAGAGACTACTGGCTGTACATAGGCTAGAAACACAGGCTTTTGGAGAAGGAATGAAGGGGCATGGGGGCCTCTTTTACTGTGCCTAGCCACCAAAAAAGCTTCGTAATCATCGTGTTCCGAGGCTACATGAACTACTGTTAGGGTACTAGCCTAAAATCAAAGGCTTCTAAAGCAAAGGACTGCAATGTACCTAAGGTAGATCAGTCACGGTCTCACGGTGTATTTTGCGCGCCTTGCTAGTACATTTCAGGTATTACGTGACAATCTCGTATACGCGTACCCAATACTGCAAGAAGGGGACGTAATGCTAGTTGCAACTACCCTGCCACTTCTGCAACCGGTATCTTTAAAAAAAATCTTTTTGATAAATCCTGTTTATCAAACACGGCCGACAGCGGGACAATGCCGTGTTTGCGGAAGTGACATCAGAACAATGGCGTGTTTGCGGAAGTGACGTACATGCCGGGCTGGGTGTCAGGCCGGGACAATCCGTGCTTTTATAAAGGTCTGACATTTGGACGGAAGAGTAAATCTGATTGGTCCACTGATCAGGCGTCAGGTGCTGACGTCACGCGCGCCCGGGCTCCTGAACTTCGGCGGGGTCACGGAAAGGTCACCGGGAAGGTGACATTGACTTTGAGAGTTCACCTAGCCTCTACCAGGCTTGGGGAGGCGGCTGTAAAGAGTACAAATCGGCCAAATAGAGAGAGATAATATGCCGGGAGAGTTGGTCCGCTAGAGAGAACATGTTTGCCGCACAGGAATAGCCTGGCATGCTATATATGCTATCTCTCTCTCTATTTGGCCGATTTCTACTCTTTCCAGCCGCCTCCCTTAGCCTGGTAGAGGCTAGAGTTCACCTAACGTAGGGTCTGATTGAATGGACTTAATCTACAGCTTATCTCCAAGCAGATCCTAGGGTGACAAAACACAGTATCAAATTGGCCAGGCAGTATCCAAGGACCCTCTATGGCCAAGGCAATGGATACAGCCTGGTCAATGTGATACCGTCTTTTGCCACCCTAGGATCTGCTTTGAGATTAATTGACAACGAGAGAATAAAAAAAGGGCCAAAAGCAAGACACTTGAAACAAAACTTTGGGAACAAGAGTTTGTACTGTCAACTCAGAACTTTGGGAACGAGAACATATGTTGACTCATACAATAAAAACAACTGTGCGATATTATATATATATATATACTTTTATACTTTGAACAATGTGCAACGATTATTTAGGTGGTAAACATCTGTGCAAATGTTAGGGACATGTTTTTGTACAACTTAGAAGAACAAAGAGAACAGTTACTACATCTAACTTTACGAATTTCTTTGGTTTCAAATCTCAACATGATGACGTCATTCTATGCTGACGTCATAATCTGCTGACGTCATTCCCAGACGATAGCCTTTTTATCAGAACAAAAATAAATCTTTGATCGAACTCAAAGATTTTAGACATTTCGTGAGAATAATTCGTCTTCAAGCAACATTCCTTTCTTTTTTTACAAAAATAAACAAGACCAACAGAATGATAATAGAACAGACCTTCCAGTCAGTGATTCTAGAAGGTGACAAAATTATTGCTTATATAAAGTCTGTCCCCAGTCTAAGTGGACTTCTCCATTCACCTTTGACCCGTTGCTGGTGTCACGTGACCGTGCGGGATCACGTGTACGAAACGGTCAGTCGCCCTGAAGAAGGCAGGAGTCAAAACGTCCAAGGGAGAATGTCACTCTTCTCGCAACTCACTCCTCTGGCCAATTACTTGGACTACTTTTGACGAATTCTACTGTCCATAATGCTTTGGGAAAGCGTAGCCTCCACTAGACTCCTTTGCAGGCTGAATAAATAGTAGAAATCGGCCTAAAAATGTAGCTGGCAGGGGAGTTAGCCGACTAAAGAGGGTCCAGTTTGCGTGCAGTAAAATGGACGCTAATAATGGCCGGCCAACTTCTCTGGCCAGCATTTTTGGCCGATTTCTACTACTACTACTGTATTTATTCAGCCTGCAAAGGAACCTGCTGGAGGCTACGAAAAGTCTGTGACGAGACTATTTTATGCTGCTGAAAAGACTGCGACGAGGCTACTTCATCGTGACGAGTTCTTGCACAGAACAGTGTGTGAGACTGTGCCTGCGCAGGTCGCAGTTTCTCCGGAACACCTTCCCGCAGTTGGCGCACTGGTACGGCTTGATGTCCGTGTGAGTCAGCAGGTGCGTCTTCAGGTGGCTGCGACGAGGCTATTTTACGCTGATAAAAAGCCTGCGACGAGGCTATTTTATGCTGAGGAGTTCTTGTACAGAGAAAAGTCTGTGACGAGTCTATTTCGTGCATTTTGTGCCAAATATTCACTCTATTTCAAATTTGAATTTTACTGTCCATAGCCCCTTAGCAAGGTCTGGAATAGTTCATTTTTTTTTTTTTTTTTTATTCATGCTGACCAGTTCTTGCACAGAACAGTGCGTGAGGCTGTGCCTTCGCAGGTCGCAGTTTCTCCGGAACACCTTCCCGCAGTTGGCGCACTGGTACGGCTTGATGTCCGTGTGGGTCAGCAGGTGCGTCTTCAGGTTGCTGCGCTGGTTGAAGGTCCGGCCGCAGGTGGGGCACTTGTGCGGGGACTCCTGCAGGTGGAGCGTCCTGTGCACCGCCAGAGTCCGCGACTGGCAGAAACCCTTCCCGCACTCCAGGCACTTAAACGGCTTCTCCTTGGAATGGATGTACCTGCGGCAATAAGGAAAAAGGCAGGGTTAAAACCTACAAACGTCTATAAAACATACAACTATACATACACACAAACAAAATCACAACACATACATGTACAAACACACACACACACAGACACATATATGCACACACACACACACACACACACACACACACAGACATCCATTTGAGTTTGTGTGTGTGTGTGTGTGTGTGTGTGTGTGTGTGTGTGTGTGTTTGTATGTTTGTGTGTATGTTTGTGTGTGTGTCGTACTTACTTGTGGTCCCTGAGGTGGTCCTGTCGGCGGAAAGCCTTGTGACAGATGTCGCAGGAGTAGGGCCGCTCGTCCGTGTGAGTTTGTGTGTATGTTTGTGTGTGTGAGTTTGTGTGTATGTTTGTGTGTGTGTCGTCCTTACTTGTGGTCCCTGAGGTGGTCCTGTCGGCGGAAAGCCTTGTGACAGATGTCGCAGGAGTAGGGCCGCTCGTCCGTGTGAGTTTGTGTGTATGTTTGTGTGTGTCGTACTTACTTGTGGTCCCTGAGGTGGTCCTGTCGGCGGAAAGCCTTGTGACAGATGTCGCAGGAGTAGGGCCGCTCGTCCGTGTGAGTTCTCTCGTGGATCAGAAGGTTGTAAGACTTTGTGAAGTGCCGACCGCAAAATCTGCAGATGAACTCCTTCTTCGGTCTCGCGGAAACTCGCCCCCTGATCTCGCGAGAGTGTGCCGCCGCCGCCACCACCGCGTGAGAATGTACTGAAGTATTCATCGCGTTTGCCTGCGCTCCTGTATCGCGGGCAAAATCGTCCCTTTTGATGTCATCCTGAGTCGCTGACGTGGCAAGATGGGCGAAATCAAACTTGGCTGCTTTTCTCTCTTCCTTCACAGGAATTGGCGGGAAACTGAACTGGAACATGCCGGTCTCCGGAGGGGGTGAGTACACATGATAGAACGGGTATCCCGACAGGCAGTACGGGCTGAAGACGCCTAGCGGATATCCCGGGGACTGCAGCTCCGAGAGGAAGGGTCCGGGAAAACCCGTGGGGTGGGGCATGGGGAGCCTGACCCCCGGGAGAGTGTAGTTTAGGGTTGGCCGTAGGGCAGGGAGAACCGTGGGGCGGATGGGAAGCACCCCCCGGGAAGGATCGTCAGGGGGGGTGCCGCGTCCTAGGGGGGTGCCGGGCGTCAGAGGGGGTGTAGGCGGCGACTGGCTCATTTCTGTAAAAAACCAAAAACATTTGTTAATATCGATAGTAGGGGCACTATCATTTACATAGCTTTAAACAATATTTAAAGTTACTAGTAGATGTTCAAGGGTTTAAATAGGTGTAACAAGTCATTCGGTGTAATGTAGCCAGCTGGTGTGTTACATCGAAGGGTTGTTACTAGTATACCGGCTATACAGATACAGTATATTCAACTTATGATGCCAGAACCGTGCCTGATCCTAACCCTAACCCATTCAGGCATAGAACTGACCAGATAGCTCCCATACTCGATGAGGTGCAACTAAAAGGATCGGAGCCCAGGTAAATGTGTACTACTACTAGACAGACGAGTAGTGTTACGGCACCCAGACTAGTACATGACCCTACATCTGGAAGCCTGGAAGCTCCCGAAACAATAATCCACCAAAGCCCAGGCAGGCATGCCGTTATCAGGTCCTGTTTCTATCGGACAGGTTTTATAGTCTTACAGGAGCCCGGTTTTCAGGCACGGGGCGAAACTAGAAACCGAGGCGTGCAGCTCGTCAAACCTTAGCTTGTAGTAAAACATGAGCCAATGGTGACATTTATGGACGTGTTTTCTATACACTAAGTAGAATCTACTAGTATTGCCTCCAGAACCGTGCCTTCCTAGTTCCCTGAGATCAATCTGGCCCAAGCCGTGGTCTAGTGTGGTCATCTCTATAGCAGCATCCAGCATGCATAACACCTGAATGGGTTAGGGTTAGGATCAGGCACGGTTCTGGATAGTCTCCGCGTATCCAGGAACTTAGATTTGCCCCAGGCACGGTTCTGGATTCGCGTGGGCTATCCAGAGTACAAATATGATGGCACTGGCTCAGACCTTTCGCGGACACTTCCATCCCCGGGTACACGTGCGACCTTGGCTATTCT